ACTGCCACCTCGTGTTTCAGATGGCTTTGCAGTCTGGCGCATTAACCCACAGCATAAGCAGAACTGTAAAAATCCAGCCCTTTTGAGGCAGTGAGTGGGTTCGGACTCACAGCTCCCCTATTGGAGTCTAGCTGCCCCATGGGGTTCCCGAGGCTGTCAGTCTTCCTTACTCATTGTCTGGCTTTCACTTGCAAATGAGACAGCTGAGAATGAGGGACACACATATGTGTCCTGGAAGAAGCCATCATTTTATGTACTATGTGTTGTCTGCATGTGTTATCTGGAGGAAACAGTCCCTGGAGAAGGACATCGTGCTTGGTAAAACAGAGGGTCAGCGAAAGAGAGAAAACCCCTCAACATGAGATAGACTGGCAGCAGTGGTCATTAAATGGACTCAGACGTGGGAACAGCTGTGAGGATGGTGTGAGGCCTGTTGTACGCTGAGTCGCTGTGAACGGAAACCAACCGGGACAATCTTGACAGGAGCAAGCCCGCTGCTGTTGAGTTGGTTCCAACTCATAGTGACCCCAGGACAGAGGAGAGCTGCTTTGTAGGTTTTTTTGGCTGTGATCTTTAGGGGAGCAGGTGACCAGGCCTGCTTTCTGTGGAGTCTCTGGTTCTCATTACATCTTTACATTCATTAAAAACTTGGAAGCCTTCTTAAAACAGAAGGAGAAAATGTGGAACAAAACTTAAAATTATAAAAAAAAAACCAGGCTTGCTGGTCCGATGGAGCTGGGTGTAACCGTGAGACTGTGGCCCCTTAGTCACCCTCCCGATCTAGGACTGAACTCACTCCCATGGGTGAATTTTTAGCCAAGCAATAATAGCCAGTTCTACTGGAGTCGTAGTGTGGCGCTGTAGATTAATGCGCCAGACTGCAAAGCCATTTGAACTGCAAGGTCGGCGGTTCGAGCTCACCAGCTGCTCCTCGGAAACCCTACACAGGGTCACTATGGGTCAGAACTGACTCGATGGCACTTAACAACAATAGGGGAAGGGGGACAACAACACAGTAAGGTATGCCCACCATAGAGACCCAGAGGGTGGCATTTACCCCAGGACAAAGTTCAGAAGGGTGGGAAAGGAGAAATGACATACACGGAGGGGCTGCTGTCCAGATGAAACAAAGTATATGGTTAGTTGAATGTAAAACTGGTGACCCACTCTGTAAATCACCACTCAATTCACAAGAAAAACTCTTAAAACAAATAAAGCATGAAGGAAAACAAATGTTCAAGCCCAGTCCCCAGGGACGCCTATGTAATGGCTCTGGTATGGGGCTCCCTCATTGGCGTTGATGTAGAAGCCCCCAAAAGAATTCAGTGGCACCCAAGGTTGAGAGCTACCCCTGAGATCTCAGAAATGAGACAGGGTAACTTGGGGGAGGGGAGAAGAGGAGAGTCCCTGGTGGCACAAACAGTTAAGCACTTGTCTGCTAAGAGAATGGTTCAAACCCACCTAGAAGGACCTCAGGAGACAGTCACAGCAATGCACTTCTGACAGAGCAGCCGTGAAAACCCTGTGGAGCCCTGGAGTCTGCTCTGACACACATAGGGTCACATGGGCAACTATGTGAAAAGGGGTTACTGCTCAGCATGCGGGCCTTCCTTCCGAAGTGCCGCTGGGTGGGTTCCAATTGCCAGCCTTTACCGGTGGTTGTTAAGTGCCATCGAGTTGGTTCTCACTCACAGTGACCTCATATAGGGTTTCCAAGGCTATAAATGTTTACAGGGGAATCCTGGTATGGCGCTGTGGGTTAATGCGTCAGACTGCGAAGCTGTTTGAACTGCAAAGTCGATGGTTCATGCTCTCCAGCGGCTCCTCGGAAACCCTATACAGGGTCGCTGTGGGTCAGAATCAACGACACTTCACAACAACTAACATTTACGGGAGCATGAAGCTGCTGCTTTCCCGCACGGAGTGCCTGGTAGATTCAATCTACTAACCCTGCCCTTCGCAGCCTAGCGAATCTGCTCCACAAGCCGGGCTGTGTCCAGCCTTTAGGTTATTGGTGTAAAATGCCATCAAGTCTGTTCCGACTCATGATGTTGTTATTAAGTGCTGTCAAGTCGATTGCGACCCTGGGTAGGGTTTCCGAGGAGCAGCTAGTGAGCTTGAACTGCCAAGCTTGCAGTTCAAACGGCTTTGCAGTCTAGTGCATTGACTCACAGCGCCAGCCCAGGACTCCATTCTGACTCAGCTACCCTATATAGGGTTTCCAAGGAGAGGCTGGTGGGTTTATGGTTAGTAATCCAGTGCTTATCCTACAGAGCCACACCAGGACTACAGCTTTTGATTATTAGTTGTAAGACGGCAAGGCAGGGAGACACCTGACCTAACTCCACAAGAGGGGAGCACCTCTTTAAGTCACAACTGCCCAAGGCTGGGTCCTGTGAGGCAGAGTTCAGACTTGGCCTGCTGCTCTCTCCGAGCGTTTACTACATGAGACGCCGGCCGTCCCTCCCACAACCCTACTGCTGGCTGCTGTCATAAGTTACGAGGCCCACACAGAACAGAACTCTCAGTCCTCACAGGTAGGGGTCACTTCTTCCATCAGGACAGCTTCCTGTTGCTCTCTGCTGCAGGGCCCTGCTTGAGGCCTTCTCAGGCAAGGGGCACTAAGCTCTGAAGAGCTGCCAGGAACGCTCAGTCCCAAGGTGCTCAGCAGGCCCATCTCCATGAACTAATGCTCCAGAGACCTGCCACTTGGCCAGTCGGCCGGCTGTCCGGAAACACACTGCTTCCACGGCCCAGGTGTGTCTTCTCCTGTGTCTGCGACGTCTGCTGCTGCTGTTTCTCGGCACAGGGACCTTGGGGCCACAAGACCCCTTCCACTCTTATCTCTTTTTCTAGTAGGTGGTAATCAGGTCTCCCTTCTCTGCTTACTTCTTTCTCCTTTTAACCCTTGTTAAGACTGGTGACTCGCGCAAGGCCCTGGCTTCACTTGAGTAAGAGGATGAGGGGGTAGTGGCTGGGCTCTCCAGACGCAGTGACGTTTATATATGTGTCTCTACAAGGGGTTTATTAGATCAAGGGGATGGTCACACCGTTGTAGCGGCTGGCAAGTTCCAAGTCTGTGGGTCAGATGTCAGGCTGAGGCTTGTCTGGCCTCATGTCCCTGCAGGGGCTGATGGACCCAAGATTGGCAGGTCAGAGAGCAGACTTCTGGCTGCAGAGGCGAATGTGTCCAAGGTCAGCAGGTCAGGTGGCAGGCTGCTGACCGCTCCCAGGATCCGCAGGCAGTCCAGCAGGCCACTGGCTCAGGTGGAAGAACCAGAGGTCGGATGATGAGTCAGATGCAGGATTCAGACCCATCAGAAAGCAAGCATGTGGTACCCCCTAGACTGGAAGCAGGCAGAACCGCCTCAGCCCCCAGGAAATTTCCCTTCTCTTGATTGGCCGCTCATAGTAGACTTCATAGAGTTGATTACTACATCAGAATTGTTAAACCTGGTGTTGCGCTGTGGGATAATATGCTTTACCTCAAGGTTGGCGGTTCAAACCTTCCAGCTGCCCCTTGGAAACCCTATTCAGGGTCACTATGAGTCGGAACAAACTTGGCAACAACAATGACACCTGCTAAATGGCTGAGAATCCTGGCTCAGTTGACACCAAACCTTAACTGTCACATCACCCTAATCTTTCCTCGGATAAGCACTGGACCACAGCATCGGCAGTTCAAGCCCACTAGCCAGTCCTCAAAACCCTACACAGCGTTGTTATGAGTCAGAACCAATTCTACAACACTAAACCAACAACAATCCTCATTAACAGAACAGACAACTCACTCCCAAATGGGTATATGACCAGAGACATGTTGTGGTTCAGCGCCATCCAGTCGGTTCTGACCCATAGTGACCCTGTACAGGGTTTCCAAGGAGCGGCTGGTGAGCTTGAACTATCGGCCTTGTGGTGCAAACCAACTTGACAATCCAGAGCATTAAGTCACAGAGCCACACCAGGACTCTTGACCAGAGACTTAGAGGCTAAGATTTCCAAGATTTCCCAAATGGAGCTTAATGACGTCAGACCACAAAATACAGCAGAACTTCACAGTTCTGGGAAAGAAACGTGGCCAAGCCAAGGAGCCATAACCCCACCATCAAAACCTCCACACCACTCATATGCATGGTCCCACCCAATTGGAGTCCTGGTGTGGCACCGTGGGATAATGCACTGGACAGCAAAGTCGGTTTGAATCATCCAGATGGCTGGTCAAGTTCACCAGCCGCTCCTCAGAAACCCTTATACAGGGTCGCTGTGGGTTGGAACCAACTCAATGGCACTTAACAACAACAACCCAACAGTGGTGTGGGAGTCACAAGAACTGTGGCTAACAGGGCAGCATGAAGTAATTCGCCCCACCCTGGATGGTGCTAACGGTTAGATTCTCAGCTAGTAACAATCACCTTCACCCAGAGGTAACTAGTTCCCAGCAGGGCTGGAGTGAGAAAGTTGCATCAAGTGGTGCCGATGCATGTCGGCCCATGGTAATTACCAACCTTGTTAACGGTTTATGCTAGCATCACCCTCAGATCCTGCAAAGAGAAGGATTAACAGCCCGTCTCCTGCAGCACAAGGCCATTCCGTGATTCACAGCTGGTATCAAAACATGCTCTAAACTGCAGTATCCGTGTGGCATGCTCTCCCCCCAGAGCTCATGTGGCTCACACGCTCCCTGCATTCAGACATGGCCTCAGCAGTGCCTCTTCCGGGAGGCCTTCCCGACCACCCCTGGGTCTGTAGCCTCCCGCTCTGTTCCTACACAGTGGACTCCTCTGCCCAGCTCCTCAGACAGGGCCTGCTGTGTGTGACCTTGGCGCTCCTTCCCTGAGCCTGGGAAGGGGCAGAGGTGCTCCAATGTGTGTGTGTGTGTGTGTGTGCAGGTGAGAGGAGGGTTATGTGTCCAGCAGGAGGCCCAGCTAGTCCATCTCATGTCTCTTGTTTGTTCTCAGCTGTCCACCTTCCAGATGTTGAGCGTCTCAGGAGAGGAAAAAATGCCCGCCACCCGGGGAAGAGCCAAGTCCAAGGTGAAAGCCCACCCCCTTTCCTGTGGGAACGCTCCATCTCATCTCCTGAGACTCTCCTTCTGCGGGTGGAGACCTTCCTGGAACTGCTCCCCGGCCCGTCCATCTCCATGGAGAGGGACCTCCCTCTCCACTCAGCTGTCCTCTGGGTACCCCAGGGCCATGCCAACGCCCCTCCTGCAGGGTGGGCAATACCACCCTGGCAGCTCAGGCACATCCCCAGTGGGCCTGCTGCATCTGCACCTCTGAGCTCACTCAGCTCAGCTGTCCTTCGCCCATGGAGGATGTCTCCTTAGCTGGGTACACAGACACTCAGACCTGGGGACACACACACACCTGGACACATACGTACCTACTGAACACATGCACTTACCTAGGTACACTAACAGATCTGGGACACATACACACCCCCAGACACATACATACCTACTCATACACACCAATCTGGACACACAGACACTCACAGTCCTAAATCCATGCACACATTTGGACACACAGACCTGAGGACGGACACACCTGGACACTCAGTCGCATACTTAAGCACACACACGGGGAATCACGTGTGTTGTAATCCGGAGTTCTTGTGAGTTTCCTTTCACACCACTGCAGTCATGTGACTATCGCAATAAAAGCGGGTCACAAGAATTGTTTTGGCTCCCAGTGCATGGAAAGATTGGTGCTATAAGAAAAACACTGCAAGGTCGTCAGTTCAAACCCACCAGCCGCTCCTCAGAAACTCTATAGAGGGTCGCTGTGAGTCGGAACCGACTCCATGGTACTCACCATTAGTGTGTGACAGCTCTGTGAAAAGTGACCTTTTTATTGCGAGAATGATTAAGCTGTGACAGGCACACAGTGAGCACGTGCTGTTGGTAAAACCACGCCGACAGACTCATTCAACTCCAGGTCACCACATACCTGATTCCTTTTGGGAAAACATGCTCTCTGCCAGGCGCTGTACAATGAAGTACGCCTGACGTTTTCAGAATAAATCTGCCCGTTGGCCTCTGAGCCCGTAACACCTCCTTTGTTTTCTTCTGTGAACACTTGTCCTTTATTCTCCACACGTAGGTAGTCCACCATCTTGTCCAGCCATCACCCTCAGCTTCCCCAGGTGTTTCCATCTCTCCTCACAGACGCTCCGTGACTCTTGAACATTCCTTGGCCCGTCTTGATTGAAGCTGTCTCCCGCATTCGGGTCTTGTCCATTTTCTTGGTCCACCTGGGAGCAGACGTGTGGTTTTCTATTGCAGGCACCGGTGACATTTGGAGATTTGGCCATCTACTTCTCCCAGGAGGAATGGGAACAGCTGAGCCCTATGCAGAGGGATTTGTATGAAGAAGTCATGTTGGAAAACTACCGGAATCTGGTGTCTCTAGGTGAGGTTCTCCTCCCTGTCCTCGTCTAGTGCTGTTACAACGGAAAGCCACAAGGGGGCCGCTTTCTTCTCACGCGGAGGGCTTTCTCTGCTGCCTCTGGGGTTTACCGAGGACTCAAAGATTGAGTTACAACCTACCTGACACTGCTTCTGCCTCATCATTGTAACAAATCTCATTCTTGGTTACGGGATTATAACCATAGGTATGTTGTCGGTACCGACTCATAGCAACTCTGTACATCGTAGAACAAAACCCTGCCTGGTCCTGCCCCAGTCTCATAGCTGTGAGTTCATTACTGCTGTCACCATGCCAGTCCGTGTCACTGGGGGTCTCCCTCTTCACTGACCCTCCACTTTACCAAGTATCATGTCCTTCTCCAGC